TGACTGTTAGAAGTTATTTAAACTTGTTCCAAGTATGCTGTAAGTTTTGGTCTTTTAAATGCAAATTTGTCTTGTCACAAGACCTGTTAACTTCTGTTTAAAAAAACCCCTGCCCCTGTTGTTTCAGATGCACTTCTGGTTGTTTGATCGGCCAGTTTCCTTTTCCTGGACCTTTGTGTACTTGGGATAATTAGCTTTTGATTTAGAGGTGACTTTCCCGTTGCTCTGCATCGGAAATCCCTTGATTGTCTTAGAATCATAGAATCACTTTGGTTGGAAAAGCCCTTTGAGATCATCGAGTCCAACCTTTAACCTAACCCTGCCATCCCACCACTAAACCCTGGCCCTCAGCACCTCATCCATCCTTCTTTTAAATACCTCCAGGGATGAGGACTCTACCACCTCCCTGGGCAGCCCATTCCAGAGCCTGACAACCCTTTCGGTGAAGAAGTTTTTCCTAATGTCCAGCCTAAACCTGCCCTGGCGCAGCTTCAAACCATTCCCCCTCGTCCTATCATCTGTTACCAGGGAGCAGAGGCCGACCCCCCCCTCCCTACAGCCTCCTCTCAGGCAGTTGTAGAGGGCGATCAGGTCTCCCCTCAGCCTCCTCTTCTCCAGACTAAATAACCCCAGTTCCCTCAGCCGCTCCTCGTATGACTTGTGTCCCAGACCCCTCCCCAGCTTGGTTGCTCTCCTCTGGACATGTTCCAGCAACGCAACGTCTTTCTTGTAGTGAGGGTCTTGTTGAGCAGCTCTTATTTGAGAGTCATTCCAACCATGATGTGTGGGGTGAGTCCAGCAAGACGAGTGTTTCTCTGAAACGGGTGTGAGATTTTTTTGATGTTATTTTAAGCGGGCGATGTAACTGGAGCTGACAGCCACCGTTGCTGCTCCAGGTCTGCAGGTTTGGGTTTTGCTTCTGTGCAAAGCGCGATTCCACCAGAGAACACGGCTGAGGTTGCGGAGGAGGAGGGCGTTTGGGGGAATCACTTGAGGTGAAAAACTGGAGGTCCTGCAGTTAATGATTCTGGACTTAAAATTTTGAGACAGAACTTTTATTTCCTATAGCAGTAAAACCCATTTCAGTTGTACAGCTGAATGAACTACATATTACCTACATACAGCTCGTAGGTTTGTGTTAAACCTGCAAACCTTTTGCTCTCAAGGTCTACGAAGAGATTTCACAGGAATTAAAAATACTAGTGTGGTTTTAGTTTCTCTGTGCGATAACGAAAGTCTTTTCTGTAAATCAGTACAGCCCATTGGTTCTTCTCGCCCCTTAGCTTATGTATATTGGTGACTAGGCGGTGATTTTTTCTTTCCTTGAATCCAATCTCAGTTGAATTAATGAGTCAGACACTCCGTTCCAGCACTCGTGGACACTTTTCCTCTGGAGTTAGTTAGAAATAGTGTGGGGGTTTTTTTGTTGAGGGTTTTTTTTTTTTTTTTCCCCTGCTGAATGCCGTATGTCAATAAGCAATTCGCTTAAAGAGGCTTTTTAGCAAAGGTACGTGCTTTTATGTCTTTAAGCGTTGGGTTGGGGTTAACTACAGTTAGCAATAGACTCTGCTTAAATGAGATTCCCTGCAAGGGTTGTTTGTTTTCCTCCCGTATTCAGGCTCCAAGCTTGATTTGCCCTTCCCTCCTGTTAAGGTACCTTCACCCCACTTGGGATGCCCCTGCCTTTGTCAACGGCTGGCTGGCTGGTGGGTTTGCTTTCTTTCGTGGCTCTTCCCTCGTTTGGAGCAGTGCTGGTGGCGTTTGGGTGCCCACCCGGGTACGATCTCACAAGCTCGGGGCGAGCCAATTAAGTAAATGAAAACGCAAGTCCTGTTCTCATTTCTCCTACCTGTCAACTGCCAATGCTTTTTACGCCAGCGCTGACGTTTTTCAGGCAGTGTTGTGAGCTGATTTAACTTGTTGGAATGCTCTTCTGCCATTTTAGGCGGGGGGAAAAGAAAAATCCACTGTTTTGCAAGCTGGATAGCCTCACCGAAGGATGTGAGTAAGGGAAAGGAGGCAAACACATGGCTGGAGCTGGAGAAGACTCCCTTCCCCTCGGTTTCACGTGGTAACGACCGTGATGTTGATGGAGCTGTCTGTAAAGGGTACCGTCGGTTTAATGACCGTGTGACCCAACTCAGTCCTGCAGCATGTGAAGTTGTCATGAGGCTTTTTTTTTTGCTTAGTCATGTACGAGGCAGTTACTCTCGATGTTAAAAATTAACCCAACACAACAGTCTGCCAAATAGCTTCCTTCCAAGTGCTGTGTCAGGCTTTGGGGGCAGGGGCAGGCCTGGCAGTGGGGGGAATCAAGTGACAGCTCACATGCTGCCTCTGCTCTCCACCACGGAGACCTTTCAGAGTGTCAGCAGCAAGTTTTGGTGTGGAAACACCAGTGACTTGACTCAGCAGTTCAAATAAATTGTGCCAAGTCATCTGAAGGCGCCTGAGGAGGGAGGGGGGGAAGCAGCTTGTTTTGCTGACCGAAAAAACAAGTGTTCCCCATTTTTTTTACAAAAATGTGGGTTGAACTTGACGGAGCACAAGCTTAAAGGTAATGGAAGTTGAGGAAGTGGTGATTTAGCGAGCGGAGTGATCGGCTTTTCCACCAAATCCTGTGGCAGGCTGTTTGAAAAGCATTGCCAAGGCAATTTTGGTCTTCTGCATCTGCAGAACTCCGAAGCACTTTCTGCCAGCTTTGGGATCTCTAGCACGCGTCCCTGGTGGTAGCCTCTGTGGAATCAGTCCTGGAAAAGCAGTATCTGTAGCTGACTTGACGAAAGTCTCAGAATTGAAATCCTGCCTGCCTGGAGCCAGAAAACCTGCTTAGATACTGCTGAGGTACAGTGGGTCCAGCCAGGTGAACTCATGGCCTGATTCTGCCTTTCCTGTTCGCTCTGCTAAAAAGCCTGTGAGCTCCATCAGTCCTGGACATCAGCACTGTACCCTTGGGTTTTTAGTTCACCCTGAGTGCTTTTCCTTTCACTTTTACGGGGTTTTTCTTTTGAAGGGTGTCCTTTTTCTACCCACCTCTTTTGTGGGCCACTGTGGAATAAATATATTTATTATTAATAAAATAAAATAAAAGGATTTTAACTTTCTTTGCCCTATCTCAAGGCACTGAAGAGGCAAAAAGCACTGCCAGGGTTCTCCTGTCTAGCCTGGGACTGACTTTTGTGTATATTCAGCTTCATTTGATGTGCACCTGCAGCGGATCCATTGCCCATGTGTCCGGCGAGGGCAGAAAACCTGATAGAAATGAGCTGAAAGCTGCTTGGGAGCTGAGAAACGAGTCCGGGGCGTTTGCAGGGCGACTCTCGGCTGCGCTCATCTGCTGGTCTTGACGCAGTTGTTTTTCCTCCATGCTATAATACGTTCGTTTAAGCCTTGGGAAGCTTTGTGTATAATGACCGTACCCAGTAACAAATGAGCTCTGGCAAGACTTGTGGCTGTCCTTAGTATTAAAATGTTTATCTTGCAGCGGGGCAAGGCTGGTTTTCGCTTCCTTTGATGTTGAGAAGCAGCCGCAGAGGGAGGTCTGTGTTATTGCAGGATGCCGTATAAAGCAGCCTGGTATTTTAGCAGTGGTGTAATTTATTTATTTATTTATTTTATTTAATTTTATTCCCCGCCTCCCCACTGCCCTTAAAATAAAATCTGGAAAGGAGGTGGGGGTGAAGGAGAAATACAAGCCAGTTTGTTGCACCACGGGAGGTTCAAATTTCAGAAGCGCCGCCGAGGTCTTTGCCAAAAGGAGTCAAAATGTTTGAAGTCTGACAGGCAGTGCTAACTATAGGTTGAGTTAGCGGCTTAAGGAGGTTTAGTCGCTGTGACTTAAACAGAGGAACAGCTTGCTATAATTGGGGCTGGTGATACCGCTTGCAGTTGGGGTTGTGTAATGGGGAATGACAGGCAGCCTTCTTCTGGCGGGTTATAAAAACTTGTGACAGGCTTTAAGCATGTGAACGGGCAGTTCTTATGTTGAACGGCTCTTCTGATGGCTTTTTCTGAGGTGTGGTGGAAAGGTAGCGGTTTTCAGACCAATATTAGGGAAGGATGCATTGTTTTTCCCTATATCAGGAACTGTTTATGGTTGTTCTTTGTCTGCTCTCATCCCTTCTTTCCTCCTGCTCCCTCCCTTTTGACAAGGGAGTTGGAACTTGGTTCGGGGCTAGTCACCTAAGCGTAGGGCAATTAAAGCCATGAATTTGGCTGTGCTTAAAAAAAATACATAAACTGTACATGCTCTGATATTTGTCTGGTTATGTGATCCAGACGTTTTGGGCCAGACTTAGATTTAGGCCACCTTAAACACTTTGCGAGCGCTCTTTGCCATAAGTGGGAATTGTACGTACGAATCAGCTGCGAGCTGAATTTCTACACCTCTTTCCTTGAAACATTTGAAGTGTTTGGAGGGGGTTTGTATAAACGGACTCTTTACGCAGTGAACTGGAGATAGGTTGGAGCTAGAAGATGTGATGGGAAACACCGAGTACCGAGCGGGTCCTGTGTGTCTTCATTGAGGTGTCCAAAACCAGTTACGCAATGGTGCTCTTCATTGTTGGCTCCATATGGAGAAGGGGCTGCCCAGCCTTTGCGAAAAGGGTCGCTAATTCTTGCCAAGTGCTTGGCTTGCTACTTGTCCTGAAAGCTGTATGGAGAATTAAATAAAACTGCACTGAGAATGCATTAAATGGGTCCATCCAAACCAGGAAACCAAACAAGTTACGTGGGGGGAATCCATTCAGCGAGTGAAGTCCTTTCGGTGCCAAGATCTGTGCAAAAGCAGGGGGGTCTGGGGGGGTCGTGGGGAGTGACCTGAATAAATGCTTGCATTTATTGCATTTATTGCATTTATTGCATTTATTGCATTTACTTATTGCCTTGGCAGCCATTTATTCTAGTATTTCCCCTCTCCTTGCGGGGGACACGGCCATGAAGCATTACTGATCCCTGGCGTTCCGTACGGGGTTTTTGATGGGATGTGTATTTATTAGACACCTTTCTGTGTTGCAGTGTGATGCATGGTACTGATTCCCCTTGCTGTCTGATCGAGCAGGTGTTCTGGCGCTCTGGGCCCTAATCACGCATGTGATGTATGTGCAGGATTACTGGAGGACCTGGTTAAAAGGGCTGAGGTTCTTCCTCTTCATCGGGATCCTCTTCTCAGCTCTCTCAGTGGTGGGATTCTGCACATTCCTCGTTCTGGCCATCACCAAGCACCAGTGTAAGTACTTCCTTGCAGCAGGCAACTGGGAGAAATGACTGGCGGTGCTGGGGTTACTGGGATTGGATTTGAAGGGATGGAAAAGCCTGCTGGGCTGTGAATCGGGGGATGCTCCCACCATCTCTTCTGAGAGGTGTCGAGAGCCTTTTGGGCAGGGGCTGCAAGAATGCCATTCATTGTGTTTTGTTTTTCTGCTGTGGTATCTTGATGACACACGAGTAATTCTGCTGCCCGATGAGTGCCACTCCCTTCGGGCATCTTCTAATATTTGACAGCTGCCTCGATAGGCCTGGCCTATGGGACTGCTGGCAGGCAGTCCGCGTTTTCCAGCCTTTTTTTTCCTCTAAGAACTGGAATTTACTTATTTCTATGACAAATAGAGGGAGTGCTCTTAAGCCTCGTCTCATCAGCGCTCGTAAAGCAGGTGGGTGAGGATACTGAAATCCAAACACGAGTCGGCAGGGTGAAAATGCCTTCTGTACTCAGTCAGCTTATAAAGCTGTGTTGCTGTAAAATATTTAACATTGTCTTAGGAGGGTTCTTGTAATTACTCCCAGTATTTGCTTGGCAACAGACCAAAGAGAGAAAGTTTGGGGTTTGTTTTTTTTTTTTTTTAGAAGTTGTCTGTGTTTGTTGCTTGCTGCATTTGGGCTGCTCGCCACGAGGAGTCCTGTTGTTGTTGTACTCCTCGTGGTGGGGAAGCTGCGGTGGGGTCATAACCCACCCAAAGCCCTTGGCTTAGCCTAAATACGCTCCCCGTGGAGATCCGAGTGCTTCAGCCCGGTGGAAGGGTATGAAAAGACTCGTATGCAATCCTTAGAAATACAGATGTAAAAAGAAAACCAAATATTTTTCATCACCTCCTTTCTTGGAGACATGAGGAAAAACTGGTTTGGGGAAAATTTGGGGTTTCTTTGGGAAATGGAGGTATTTTAGGGAAAGCCCTAATCTGAGGGGAAAGTAGAACATCTGCATGGATGTTCTACGGTTGGACTTGATGATCTTAAAGGTCTTTTCCAACCTAAACAATTCTATGATTCCGTGCATATATTATGTATGGAAAGTTTAGGACTGGCACATTTCATGAAGGATTTACTGAGTGGATATTGATTTGTGTGGTCTTCAAAAAAAGTTACCTATTTTTTAATAACGACGGAGGAGCTCGTACTCGGCGGCAAAATTGTTTTAGGCATTGGGTTATATAAGTGTATTGCAAAATTGTTGACATCCCTAGAACAAAAAAGCCGTAAACGTTGAAAGTAAATATGAAGACTGCTGACACGCACTCAAAAAGCAGAACCGTACCCACTTGACTTCAAAGTAATCACCAAAAAAAAAAAAGGCAGTTTTATAATAGGGAAAAAAGAAATGTGTTCGTTTGCCAAGATTCTCCAAAAAGAGGCCGTTTGTGTCATTCACTAATGTGTGATTATCACAGCGCTGTGGCGAAGACCTGCAGTACAGCTTGAAGCGCACCAGTATTACATGTTAAGTGTTGGCCACCACAGTTGGTAAAAGCATTTTTTAGAAGGAAGATATATTTTATTTCTTGTTTTTTCCCCCTGGAGATGTGCAGATTTCCTCTCTCCCTGCTGCAGTGGAGGAGAAGGGAGTGTAGTTGTAAGAGAGAAGTTAAGAACTGCAGGTTGGGGTTGTTTTCTTGAGCTGCATGTTTCTGCCACCTAGGAATTCATGCAAACTCCATCCTTTGGGCCCAAAGCAAGGAGAGTTTGGGGTGGCTGAGTGGGTGACCTTACGGCTCTTAGGATCTGCCTCCCAAGAGATAATAATGACCTTCAGGTTGCGACCTGAATGCTCTCCTGTGGCAGAGATGAGGAAATTCATAGAATCATAGAATGGTTTGGGTTGTAAGGGACCCCTAGAGGTCACCCAGCCCAATCCCCCGCAGGAGCAGGGACACCTTGAACCAGACCAGGTTGCTCACAGCCCCGTCCAACGTGGCCTGGAATGTTCCCAGGGATGGGGCCTCCACCCCCTCTCTGGGCAACCTGTTCCAGGGTTTTACCACCCTCATTTTAAAGAATTTCTTCCTTAGATCCAGCCTAAACCTCCCCTGATTTAGTTTTAAACCATCCCCCCTTGTCCTGACACAGCTGGCCCTACTAAAAAGATTGTCCCCCCCTTTCCTATGGGCCCCCTTTAGGTACTGAAAGGCCGCACTCAGCTCTGCCCACAGCCTCCTCTTCTCCAGGCTGAACACCCCCAACTCTCCCAGCCTGGTCTCATAGCAGAGGGGCTCCAGCCCTTGGATCATTTTAGTAGCCCTCCCCTGGCCCCGCTCCAACAGGTCCATGTCCTCCTTGTGCTGAGGGCTCCAGAGCTGGATGCAGGGCTCCTGGGGGTTTTAACCAGAGCAGAGTAGGGGGGCAGAATCCTCTCCCTTGACCTGCTGGCCACAATTTTACAATCTGAGTCAGAAGAGCTGGGAATAAGGCACTGATTAAGCCTTGCACACAGAAGGAAATCTTTAGATGCGGGCTAAAAAGCTCTCAGGAACTGAAGGACCGGCCAGACTGCACGAGGGATAAATGGGATTTTTAAATATATCTGTATCTCTTTCTCTCCTAGCCCTGACTGATCCCAGAAGCTACTACCTGTCGTGTGTCTGGAGTTTCATCTCCTTGAAATGGGCCTTCCTGCTCAGTTTGTACGCTTACCGGTACAGGAATGAGTTTGCAGACATCAGTATCCTCAGTGACTTCTAACGCTTGGACTTCAATCCCGTCTGAAGGTGCTGGATGTTTGAATTGCCCCCCAAAGGCACGGTACACGCAAGAGACGCGTGAGAGGCGGAGAAGGAACCCACCCAGTGCTGCTTGGTTTGTCTGTCTGCAGTAGGGGTTTTTCCTAATTGCTTTTACTCAACCATTTAAAGTTTGGCTAACGATGTCAATCCAGTCTTTCTGTAACTTCTCTGAGAGTCCCTGTGTCTGGTAGCGAGGTGAAAGACTCCATGTGCTTACACACAGCAGGCCTAGGTCCACTCTTTGCCTTGCCCCGAAGTCCAGGGGAGTGTTCACATGGGGAAGGAAGTCCTGGCCCTCCAGGAACTGTAGGTTCATACCTGGTGGATGCTGCACCCCGACGTCCTTGTCAGCGTGTCACCACCCTGCTTCGGGCGGGTGCCCCAGATGTACGTACGAACACTGCTGTGTGAAAGCCAGCTCCTTTTGCACTGCTCTGCTCCTCAAGAGAAAGGGAGAGACGTGGCAGGAGTCCCTCTGTACCTTCCAGCCAGTACCCCACATCTTCTAGTATTTTCTTTTCACGTGTTGTACACAAAGTTGGCTCTCTCCTGCGGTCTGGACGAGCCCCAAGGGCTGGGCCAGCAGCAGAGGAGCACACTAGTCATCTCAAGGCACTGTCAGAGGTGGGAAATGCTGATTCTGGCTGCTGTCCGGGATCATTTTAAAAAGGAACTTAAAACCCTATTTAACCCTCAAATTTGTAGCATGTAGAATCGGGTGTTTGGGTGAAAGATGTGCTGGGCAAAAGCTCACCTACCTGAACCCCTGGAGAAACATGAATATGATTCCTCTAACAAAAAATATCTTTTTGTAGGCAGTACTGTGTTTCCTTTTCTTTGCTCAGCTTCCCTGTAACAGTCAGGATGAGAGAGGGGAGGAGATGTGGTACTCAGAAAATAAGACAGGTATCCAGAGCCAGCTTCCAGCAAGCCTCTGGAACCAGTGCCACCGGCATAATGCAAGTGTAGATAAATTGCTGGGCACTCACATGGCGAGTTAAGAGGTGCTGGGTCTGCACTCATGGGCTGGAGAGCTGGAAACAGCGGGGTTTGGCCGGCACGTCTTTTGCCTGGTGGCAGCGAAGCCTTCCCTCCTTCCAGCCACGCATGGCACTGCTCTGACAAACCTAAAACCTGAGTGGATTTAGTGACCTCTTTAATCCCAGTGTTTTGCTCCCTGCCAGTAGCTTGAGCTGCTTGAAAAACCTTGAAAACCCAACCCTGTGCAGCTTGAAACCTTCAAGTGTTTACATCTTTCTTCATTAACTTCAGGCTGGCTAAAGGCTTTGGGCTGCTGCTCTGGCAGAAGCCAGGCCGGTGTTTTGCCATGCTGGGCAAAAAATCCATGAGTAATTCTACAGGTGGGTGAGAAGGGAGGCAGGAGGAGCCCCCTTCCCTTGCAGACCGATGGAAGCTGAACAAGGCAGGCGTTTGAAGGAGTCTCCCAGGCGCAGTTGTCCTGCCCCTTCTCTAGGTGGAGCATCCCCTGAAGTGCCTTTGTGGCAAATCTCTGGCAGAGGGTGGGTGACGGGACCTGCTCGGGGTCTTGTGACCAAGTGAGGTACGAGTGGCAGGTCCTACGTGCTGTCGGGAGCCCAGCTTTCTCTCCTGCCACACCAAACTCCCTGGGTTTGGGCAGCTGGCTGTGGGGAGCACCTCGGCCTGTCTGTTCCGTTACCTTACCCTAGTGCTGTGCTCTGATTTAGCTGCGATTGAGCTCCCCTCCACACACAAAGCCCACTTTGCCCCCCTGCCACACCAATCTCCCTGGGTTTGGGCAGCTGGCTGTGGGGAGCACCTCGGCCTGTCCGTTCCGTTACCTTACCCTAGTGCTGTGCTCTGATTTAGCTGCGATTGAGGTACC